ATGTTATTGGGTGGATTTTATAAGATATGGGAACTATAAATGCTTTTGTTGGGTTGTTATGCAAGTCTCCTTATCGCTTAACATCAGAAATGCAAAAATGATTTAATGTTTTTGTTAAATACTTAATCTGGGGGTCGATAAAAAGGCAAATACTCTATAAAGGGGTCGACAGGATAAAAAGTTTTGGGACCCCCTATTCTAGATGGTTTTGGAAAGATTTTGAGTAAAAAATGATGATAAAAGAAAGATGTCTTTGTACTTAATACTAGAATATAGAGAGAGAGTTTTAATGTTGAGGTTCAAGAAATGTCTGATAATGAAGATTTTCCTTGAATGAATTTTTGTAATTCATTACAACTTCTCAATAATTTATAGGAACTTTGTCAAGGTTGTTGTTTTTTTCCTCTACACCCCTCTTGAACTCCCACACCTTGTTTCTCTCATCCCTCATTGCCAACCATAACAACTGGCTAGCAAAATAGAAAATTTTTTTAGGGCTGTAGCAGCATAGTGGCAGCTGTGTCCAAATAAGCCAAAAATAGAGACATTTTGTCATTTTAATATAACCATATGAAAAATACGACATACAAATCTTGTTTACCATATTTCAGTTCTTATTTATACTTTTCAAATTTATAATTTTTTTTTCTATTAAGCATACATTACTTTCATGTGTGACTCTGTTGGTATCATTTTTAAATATTAAAAACTTCATTTTCATACTTTACAAAGATTTAATCACTTCCTTTCAGAAAAATTGTAGTGTTTTTATTGTATTTATTATTAAATAGAAATTTACTATTTTTGTCAAATAAAACATTTGTTATTTTAAAATTTTTACTTTGGATAATTTGACATTTTTTTATTTTTTCAATTAAGTAGTGAAAAAGTAGCAACTTTATAAAATTTTGAAAGCAAAAAAGATGACTTTTTTTAAATGTAGCAACTTTTTATTCCAAATGGTTGGCAACATAATTCCCATTGCCTCAGGATATGGTAATTACTAGTTATACCTGATATATTGCTGAAGAGACTTGAATAAACCAAATTTCTAATTTATTTGAGGTCCTGGACAGGTCTGAACCTCCATTAAAATTTGTGTTAAAATTATTCATTTTAAAGAGAGAAAAAAAATAGAAGCTAGAAAAAATTGTCTGTTTAAAAGTCAAGACACGACATCATAAACAATAGAGAAATGTGAGTCCTAAAATCGACCCTCTCCCATTGGGAGATTGAATTCGTTGCAAGCCAAGTTTTGAAACTGCTGAAGCCTTATGCAACTTGATCAGGAAACTGGAGTCATTACCTGGATCCAAATCCAGTGTTGTGGGACCCGATATTTGGCAAATTCTTGGAGCCATTTGGGAACTGTCAGTACCACTTGGTATGGGTTTGAAGCTCCAACTTTATCTATATAGCATGGCAGTTCTTTGGAAAGAGCTTGAAGTCCTAGATCCAAATCATAACCAAGCAATAGACAGCATAACTTCTTATTTTTGCAGATTCGCCAAGAAAGAGGTACCAAAGGAAGAGATAGCATACTACAATGCTTTGATCAACAATGAAAACAGAGCAGTGTGCAATGATATAATAAATTTCTGGAAGAACTCTTCCAAGAAAATGCCAATTTGAGTCAGCTGGCATTAAAAGCTCTGTCAGTTCCTGCTAGCAGTGCAGATATAGAGAGGAGTTTTTTACCCTGAACCATCCTCTCATGCTGAAGAGATCATCATTTATCAAGGAATTTGGACATTCATATTCACCTCATGTTCAACTTGACTGATCTATCAGATTCAGACAAAGATATACAGTAAAAGTAGTGTTGAGAATCAGATAAACAAAAAAAAAAATGAAAATTTGTGTGATGAATGAAAACTATTTCTAAATTGTAATTTTTTCAAAAAAAAATTAGGCAGAAAAAAGCAAAAAACTTCTGCCATAAAGCATACTATAACAGATTTTCTGTTTTTTTAAAGCAGATTTTTTTTTTAAATAAAGCAGATTATGGGTTGCCTTAATTATAATTTTTCTAAATTTAAGCTGTCTGTAAGCAGTATCTTTATAATAATAAATTTATATCAGGGCTATGGAGTCATTTAAAAATCTATCAGCTTCAGCTCCAAGTCCAATTTTAACAATTTAAAAAAGTTTAACTGAATTTTTTCCTACATGTAATTTCATTGCCATGTATAAAGAGTCATAATAAAAACTAATGATGATTCTTAAATTATTTTTTAAAGCACGAAATAAAATGATTTTTTATGACTCTGACTCCATCTAAAATACAATAAATCCACAACTCCAACTCCACAGCCCTGATTTATAAGGATTTTTCATATTTTGTATTTTAACAAATTTTTAGTATTGTTTTTATCTTGTGTATTTATTGGATTTTTATATATGATTTTCATTTTCTTATGGAGGAAAGTTATCTCTAGTTTTTAATGAATTTTACTTATAACTTTAAACAAATAAACAAACAAAACATGTATATATAATCTTGTATAATCTTGTGTATGTATATACAAGATAGTTTCAAAAAGTTCCTAGAATTATGCTGGGTTAGTCAATTATAGGTGATGAAAAATGGAACATGTAATGCATGTCTTAGCTAAATGTGTCAATAGGAATAGAGAAATATGTTCAGACAAATCCATACTCACTGCCAAGATGACAACAGTTACCACTAACTGAGGATCATATTAGCGAGATGTCTGAAACAGAGTCTGGCAAAAAATGTCTGTGGAAGAACAACATGAAAATATCAAATTTTGTGTATTATTGGGGAAAAACCTTCTGAGACCTTGAAGATGCTTCAGTATACCTATGTTAAATCTTCCATGAAGCATTCTCAAGTTTATGACTGGCAAAAACGCTTTCATGAGGGATGAGAAAGTATCACTTTTGATTTGTGAAGTGATCATCCATCAACAGCAATGTCTGAGGAGAAAGTGTCGATTGTACACGAGATTGTGAGGTCAGACAGCAGCCATCAATTGAGCAGATTGCCAAGACAGCAGGAATTTCAATTGGAAGTTGTCATTCCATCCTGCATGATCAATTGAACATGCACCGTGTCTGCCAACACGCAGTGCCATGAATGCTCTTGGCGGACCTCATGAAATTTTTACCTCTTTCTCCAGTACCTTCAGTACCTAGTAACCATTACTCTTTCCTGGTTCCCCTACCTTCTTCAAAGATGCCATCAAGCTGCGCCACATCAAGAATGAGGATATAGGATGAAGCTATACAGAGTGCAACATCTGCATTGCAGGTGCTGTCGCAAGATTGCTTCCAAGAATGTTTACAGCAGCTATACCAGCATTGGCAAAAGTGTGTGGTTGCCAGAGGACAATACTTTGAAGGACACATTGTTTGATTTGTCAATTGTACACATACTTTTGAGTAATAAACCAATTCCAGGAACTTTTTAAAGCTACCTTGTAATATATATACAGGGTGATTCAAAAGTCACAGAAATTTATAAGAATTAATAACTCACAAACATTTACAGTTGTAAGAATGCCGATTAGGGGGAGATTTTTATTCTCTACCATCGGGATGGTCTAAGGTCTACGCGTACGTGGGTGGCAGTTTTTTAAAGGCAGCAAAGACAAGTGTTTTACAGAGTCAAACTGTTTATTCCGGATGATAATGCTTACATAAATTTTTCCATTGGAAAGGTTCTTAGATAGATGCGATCTGGTCCTGTGTTGTAGGAATTGTCGACAGCGATCTGGTCTTGCGTCGTAGGGATTTTCGGCGGCGATCTGGTCCAGTGTCATAGGGGCCCCTGGACAGTGTTGAGCAAAAAGTTCAAAGTCTCAAAAGTTGATGCACAAAAGGTGAAAGGATGCACGAAAAAAAAACAGAGATACACGAACACAATAGAAGTCTAATGGAAGTCTTAGTGGAAGCTTAGTGGAAGTCCCATTGTCCTTGGAATTGGTGCTTTTATAAGTTTTTCGGGATCGGCCTTTTGCTAATTGGACAGACTTTACATCATCGTTTTCTAATTGGTCTTCCACCTGTCTCCAGGTGTAAATGGAGCTTTGTAAAGTTTGCGGGAAAGGTCGGCTGGACATAGTTTATCCAACACCATCTTTTAGACTCTGTTCGCGTTTAATTGTTGACTATGACACCTACGCTTATTTTAATATTTTTTCTAGTTTCGTTTTGCTTTCTAAACTGCGTCTTAACTTTAATATTTTAAATTTTCTTCTTTTATATCTAAAATTTTGTTTTTCCCGTTATTCTCTATGAGTGTCGACATCAAAGTCCGGTGTCGCCAATTCAACACTTATATAATTTGCTTTCTTGACGATTGAACGTAACAAACTCTTTTATATCTTTCTTTTGGGGGGCTATTTTCCAGGCATCACACAGTAATATGGTGCAGTTTTCACAGAAATGCTTAGAAAGAAATGGGAATTTTTTATGTGTAATAAAAATTTTAGTACCAAAATAGTTACATTTCTTGCCATAGATGGCACTTCAGGAGATTACATAATTTGTGAAGTTGTTACTAGAGCTTACACTAAGAACATTTTTATTTTTTTATTCTTACTTTACAAATTTACAAATAATTTCAGTTTTTTTAGCACCATCTATGGCAAGAACTGTAACTATTTTGGTACTAAAATTTTTATTACACATAAAAATTCTTGCTTCTTTCTAAGCATTTCTGTGAAAACTGCATCTTACTGTAAATAGTTTGCGAGTTATTAATTTTTTTAAATTTCTGTGACTTTTGAATTACCATGTATATATATGTATATTATGTTAATAAAAAATACATTAGACCCTTGATTTAACAGTCAAAAATTTCTGTCCTAAAGAAAATAAACATTTTTTTTATTTGCAAATAGAGCATACAAATATCAGTATTTGGTATTTGTATTTGAAATGCTCTTTTGGTATTTTTCCTACCTCTGTATAAAAATAACTAATTCCAAAAATAAGTTACTAAGATTTAGTTAACTTTTATCTATTAATTTTAGACATCACAAATTGGATTAACAGAGAATGTACGTGGATCACGAGGAGATAGACGTAAATTTGAAGTGTGGCTTCATGGTAGAACTCAAGTATTCATCATTCAAGTAAGTTTTGAAGCTTTTATAATAATTAAATACACTATATAATTAATAATATAATAAAACTTTTTATGTCTATTTGAATGTAATACAATTAAAAGAATTTTTAATAAATGAGGTCTTTTGAAGGCCCCATCATTAGAAATAAAGGAAACATGGGTTAAAGAAATAAAGAAAGTACTTCTTCAACAATTTGAAAATCTTAAAGGTAAAAGTTTTGCATTTTACTTAACTATTATTGTATTAGTTACAAAATGATGATAAAATTTTATTTCCTTCATTTAACTTTTTGTTTGGTAACTTACACTAAAATATTATTTCAGCAACCTAATAGTGCTGTTTTGCCAGAACTTATCACAACTTTTGTATATTATAACACACTTCTTTTATTCTTTTCACACACTTATTCTAACACATTTCTGTTTAAGTACCTTTAATAAAATGCATTTTGGACTTGTATCGTCTCTCTTCAGTTGTTTTACAGTTGTTAAAATATTAGAATTTGGTATATATACTGGATTATTAAGAAGAGAAAAAAGAATAAAAGAATAGTGTTATAATATACAGAAGTCATTATGATAAGTTTGGCAAAACAGCACTATTAGGGTGCTGAAATAACATTTTAGTAATAAAATTTTATTTAATTATAAAAGTCCTTAAAATTTTTTTATTGTTAATCAAAAATATGATTTCAAGATAAAGAAATATTATGAAATTGTTACTTAAATTTTTACAGACCAATGTTCCCATTTTGGGAATGTAGTTAAAACTTTAATTTTTTGGTTTTATTCATAAAACGAAAGCATAATTTTTACTTAGTGCTGTAATTATGTTACAATTATGTATTACAATTATGTTTTACAATTATTTTACAAATATTGTTGAATATTATATATAATTTTGTGTGAAATATAAAATATTATTATGAAATTTATTGTGGAAGGAGCAATGATGATAACACTCCATTGGGAAGTCAAATAGATTGCAGTTTATTGGATGCAGTGCATGTTCTGGAGTCACACAGTTTTCTTTGACAATTTTTTCAATAGCCATGAACTTTTGCTACAGCTTTCAGACAAGGGATTCCAAGCCTGTGGTACAATCTGAATCATACTTCAAAACATCTACTTTCTTCCACCAAAAATAATGAAAAAATTGAAAGAGGCTCATATGACTATTTTGTTCAGATGGAAAGGGATCTGCATAAAATGGAATGATAATATTGTAACAATAGCCAGTAACTACTAAGTACAGTTACCCCAGTATAAAAAAACAAAGCGGTGCATGAAGAATAAAAGAGGAAGAGAAGTTATGCAGCTTAATCTAATAAATAGATTTAATCAAGGTACGGGAGTATGCAGACCTCATTTGAGATTTAAAAAAAATAGTGGTGATGAAATCTCTTTGGTAATGCCTTTGAATATGATTGTCATTGCAACATTCAAGTTCTAGCAATATCTCCATCCTGATGAAAAGATTTCATATATTTCTTTCTGTTGTAAAATGCAATGTTGCTGTTGAAGGTGTGAGGACCCGAACAGGGGTCGACTGAGAGGTCCGAATGAGGGTTGTCGATCGGAAATAAAGAGCCTCTTTTCAAACGCTAAGGAAATGGATTAGGTATCTCGATTGAACAATGCAATTGTTTTTTTTTGGTAAATTAGTTAAACAATGGAAACAGGTAAATTCGAGGAAAAACATGACAAGAGAGAGGAATCATATTCAGTCACAACATTGACTTCTCCTGCACCCTCCATTAAGTTTTGAATTGTCACCAGGTGACAATGACAGACCAATGGAGAGGCGACAGCAGTTAAGAAATCTATAAAACCGTGCGATTCAAGTTACAAAAATTCTTGATTCTTGGTTCATAGTCTTGCTCTCCTGGACGTGTGTGTCCCCGCTGAATCTTGGAAAGAACGTTTCAGATCTAGTGGAAGTAACCTCATCTGCAGTGTCCTTTATCCTCGTGCTTCGTGGTGTGATAATCCGTCAATCAAGAAAATATTGTAAGAAATTATAATTTTATTAAACGGTTTTATATGCTAAACCTGTCTCGGTGAGTCATTCTGCGCCCATATGACAGTATTGACCGCTCGGATGTCGAAATCTCCTCACCCCAATCAGCTAACCTCACAAAGGTAGGGAGATTAGATAGCATTAATCTGGGAAGCCCAACTGCTCCAACTATTTGAGATGTTTGCTTTGATGGTATAAACCTCATCCTATGCCCTGTAACCCAAGGAAGATGCATAGTATACAGTAAAAACACTTGACTTCAAAGACAAAGCCAAAAATGTGAAAAATGTTTTGGGAACATAAAATTCCATGATTATTGATGAAATTCAAATGGTTTCCACATAAATGTGATGAGTAGGTCCTAGAGTAACACATGAAAAAATAACATTATTTCAATGACTGAAAATTGAACCAGCCATTAAAAGGATAACAAGTGGCTACTGTATTTAAAGATAGTAAAAATATTTTTAATGTACAAAATTATCTAAAAATAAGGAATATTAACTTCTCATAGACAAAATGCAAAATTGATTTTATCAAATTTTTATCATATGCTCTTGTTGCAGCCAGATTGTAGCTTACTTCATTATATGTGTAGTATCACCAAAAAACTACATGATGTTTAATTTATACATTTGTCAGATTTATTATTGTAAAAAAAGGAATAAATCAAGTGTTTCTAAAAGTCCTTTAAAAACAAATAATAAAATTATTCATAGATGAAACAGGAATAAATAATATAAAACCTTCAACACTTTTCTAGCAATTTCTTTAATCGAACTAACATTTTCGGCTATATTTAATGGCCTTCCTCAGGTTCAACAATATTTGGAATGTCAGATATTTGAAAATTTGTTTTCATTCTGATCTTACTTATTTACAGAAGTTCTAGCTTTCCATGTATAGAATAGAGGAAACAGAAAGTGTTGTCATCAGATTTTTTCTTGTAAATTGTTAACATAATACTGAGGATTTAAATTTTTTCTTACATATCATTTTTCATGCTAATTTAATCTGTAAGAGTCAGTACTTTCTCATTTTTTAAAGGATTTTATTTGATTTTAAACAAATAAACTTACCTAAATTGAAGAATTGTATTGCAGATTTGAATTCTATTTTGAATGATTCCTTTATTAAATACAGTACAATTTTGGTAATTGATATATATGGGACCAGGAGAATGTTGGATTAAAGAGATTGTGGACTATTGGAAGTAAGGTGAATTCACTAGTTTAATCATTCAGAAAGAAAACATTTGTTTATTTGCTTGATATTAATATATTATTTGAATCACTAAATTAGTGCAGTTGAGATGACAAATAATGATCTCTCTTTCTTTATTTGCCACTGACCATTGAGACCCAAGTAAATGGGAATTTTTACATTTAGAAAGGTGTTTTATTTTCCAGTGGTTTGACTTTTTTACAAAATGAATTTCAGCCAAATTAATTGTTTGGCCCTGCTCAGTTTAAATTTAAAAGATGTCATTTAAAATAATTTTTATCAATATAGCAATATCTTTCCTTTATACACTTCAATTTTTCCACCCTGGTTTCTTTGCAAATTATCAACATTTAAAATATATGCTATATGTTTATAATTAAAAATTAAATTTAAAAAAAGGGTTAAAAATTAAAATATGTTAGACAGCTGCATTTGAACTGTGAAGGTCAGTTAGCCTAATGATGCCTGTTAAACACTGTTGAAAGCATTTGCTTTTGTGTAATCTCTTCTGCTGGATATTGGTTATATGAGCAGTGTTTATTAATGTATTCCCAGTTTGAGCAGTTGAGTTGATGACTAGTATCAGATTACTGGATGTGTCAAACTAGTAAACAGCCAGATTACTGAGATTGTTCTTTATTTTAAAATTATAATATTCAAGTAAATTAAAAATATTTAATTATTACTATTATTAACATATAGTGACATGCTTACTTCTAATGAAAAAATGCTATAACTACTAATAAAATGATTTAAATATAATTAATTTGGTCAATTCAACAGTTTATATCTACATTGTTTATATATACAAATATTATCATCATGGACTTGGATGCTCTCTTTCTAATGAGTTAACAGAACATCAACTTTTAAAATTCAGCATTCTGTGCTGTTCTATAACAAGCATGTTGGCATTCAAGTTCTGGACCACAATTCAAACACTCATTGAATTTGGCCACTGGTTCACCACAGCCAACTGTTTGTTCCATGATATAGGTATCATGATTGCACAAGAACCTTTGATCTACAAGGGCAGCAAGGCAAATACACTTATCAATGGCTAGAAGAGTATGAGTGATTGCTAAATACAAGAAATGGGATAATGAAATGAAGCTGGATATTTTATTTTTTTTTAAAATATAATACCTCTCATCAATGGTTTTATAACAAGGCCAAAATCAACAGCTGGATTGTATTTTGTAGTTCATTGTATAAAGTCTCTGAAGTCAGATGAGAAAATACAATGTGAGACAATGTTTAAAAGGTTGAACCCAACAGTCTAATGAGAACAGTGAGTCCTACATTTAGGACATGGTTGCTGTATATTTCCAGGTTGATTTGGACATGCCTGATAACAACAAACTCAAGCATTGGATGAAAGGAATCAAGGACTTTTTTAATGTTCTTATCACACTGATATTATCACAATAGCAATTTTTGTTACCTCTTTTTTTCAAATTGAGACAAGCAGATGCCTTGAGTTAACCAACTGCAAGTATTTTGCTGTCTCCCAAATGTGTCAGTTTCCAGTGTAGATCTGAAAAAATATTGACATTTATACGGAAGATAACTTAATTTGAGAGTAGTTACATGCATGCTTGAATAACATACATAATCAACCTGAGCTGATTACTGCACTCACAGTATAGCCAGAAATTGGATGCAAATAAATTGGCTGGAAATGCATGTTTCAGTAGTGTTCATTTCCTAATCCCATTTATTTCTCTTCAATATCAGAAGATATTGGAGTCAGAGCAATTGTCTATGCATGAGAATTCCACCAAAGAACAAAAGAATATTCCTCAGTGGAGACTTGGTTCTAGCCCAGGAACTGATGGTTGCCCACATGTCATGAATGACATTCATTGCCTAGCTGTAAACAAATGGGAGAATTCTTAGATGATAAGGCTGTTTTAATCTGTTGAAATTCCACTGCCATTATCTCTTTTTTTTATGTACTCTAAC